TCCCTACAGTGTCTGCAATGTGACAGTTTATAGCGATGTCTAGCACTGGGGCATCGTGCTGCAGACACATAGCATGATGTCCCACCCAGTTACATGATCCTTACATCAGATTCATAAATACTAACACTGATCTCTTAATACTGAGCGCCAAGAGAGGCAGTTTTATGTACCATTTTTATATGTCTTAAATATGGCCCGGCAGAACGGATTGCAGCAAGGATTGCCACTCCCGTGTGGGACTTTATAGTCACAGAAGACGCTGCACAGCTACAAACTAGGACACCTTTCATAGGCGCATTTTCATCGTCTCTCGAGACTAACGGAAGCCAACCAACCAAATATGGCCCGGCATCCGAGGCGGACTCTCTAACCACTTAGGTTATCAGAGCGGTAAAACACATGAAATAGCAAATGAATTAACTGACCAACTCTCTACATTATATGCACACTACTACGTCGTAATACTTCCTACATGACCTATCTCACATAATCTCAGGTAACAACAGACGCAACCTGACAGAACCATCCGATGGAAAGTAACCCCATATTTTGTAAACAGGTTTATTGTTAACATTAACTAAAACTTTAAAAACAATTATTTATAACTCCTAAACAAACTAAAGAGAGACGCCAAAAATGGGAACACAATATATACATAACAATAAATTCAAAACATAACTGGACCACTGCTTCTCTGGTTCACATGTGATGGTATTTTTTCAGTAGGTATGAATGTATGACAAAATTAATTTACCCTTACGACCTCGACCTTTTTCTGTGTCTTTGTGCTCTGCTAAAGCTAAACAGACTCTAAACCTATATGGACATTCCATAGTATATACGTGTAAATAATGATGTATGTATAAAAAAGCAATTAGTAATCGCCCCTCCCTTTGTTTGCTTATGTGTGGACGATAGTCTGAACAAACGCTTGTCTATAAGTCTTCTCTGTAATGAAAAGGTTGCCTTTTCAAACAATACAACCGTGGGTTTGCAACAATGCATGTGTTTGTTTTCTCCCAACCCATCCATCCTGGTGGTGTGTTGCAGTAATGATACGTTTTAATTTTCCAATACCTCGGTCTGCTTCTTTGTCAGGTTTAATGTCATATGACCGTGTAGTGGCATCTGTCGTTTTAAAATTCCCGTTCACCCACAGAATCTCCCCAAAACTGATTTCTTTGCAATTTTTATAGTAAATATTTTAGCTCCATAGAAAAATAAAAAAATCTGTACAACCCCTAACAATATAGCTTATTTTCTTCCTCGTGTTAAATTCCCATGTCTCCATAAGGTACCCTCTGCCTGCACACACACGCACACACACACACACACACACACTCGCGCTACTGCTTTTTGTAAGGTATTCGACTACGTGTTAGTTTTGACAGCAACTCAAACAAGAACTTACAATTATTGTTTAACATCGATCTTTGTAAACTTTGGGGCCCCGGATGGTTAAGTGGTCTAAAGCGTTTGCCTTTACCAATCACTGCTATCTCACTTCTGTCCACCCATGGTTACGATCACAGGTGTTCAACAAAAACAATAATGTGAAGGTAAAAGGTCATACAGACTGACACAAATACCTCAGATTACCCCCATCACCGGTTTTAACACTGAACCCTCTCTATCATACTATATAAGAGACAAGGTAAGTAACTTCCGAACACTTCGTTCCACCCAATGACTCTAAATTTCCTTCTGCTATTTCTGTTTTCAACGGCATACGATCATATTCTATGGATTGTTTTATTTCTGAGATGTTTTTCTATCCATCAAGCCATCATTAAATATACTGCGTTGTAGCAAACTAAATTCGCGCGTTTATGAGCCCGTAACTTCAGTTTAGTTCAAGCAGAATTGTCAGTGATGGCTTGATGGATCGAAAAATATCTCAGGAGTAAAACAGGCCATAGAATATGATCATATGCCGTTAAAGACGGAAATAGCAGAAGGAAATCGAGATTCATGGTTGCAACGAAGTCTTCGGAAGGTACTAACCTTATCTCTTATATAATATGTCAGAACGGGTCATGTGGGTAATCTGGGGTACTTTTGTCACTCTGCATGACTTTTATTTTTCTACAGATTATTGTTTTTTTATTAACATCAAGCTAGCGTCGAACATCTGTTGTTCCGATATGTTAGCCTATCTAACCTTGCCTCTGATATTCGCGCGTTTGAGTTCCGGGCTTGGCCAATGTGGATATGTGAGAAAGCTTGCTATTGGCTTCCCGTGTAGGTGTAGTTTTTACCTGGGTTTCCTGGGTTTATCCCCCGTCGATTATACTGGCCGCCATGTGTGCTGAAAATTGTCGTTAAACCCTAAAACAACATTTGTAATGCAATTACAATTTATTTCTGTAGTAACCATAGAATATTGACATGCGTGTGCAACATGATTCCAAAGTCTTTTTATATCTGTGTATCTGTGAATACGAGTTTCAAGGTTCAATATATTTGTTATGTGATGGAGTTGTTACGTATCCGACTGAATCGACTGCAACCGCTGCAATAACTCTGTTTTGCGGAAAGCTGAATAAGACAGGAAACAACATCATTGACATTTTTATACTAGTCTGAGTCTTATAAGCGCTTAGAATGCATGAGACTTTTCAGTGTGAATCTGATTTTTATTATCCCTCAACGATAATCACAATTCAGAAAGCACATTTGGAGACACAACTGTAGTTTCATTCCAAAGACGTGTGTCATAAAATTATTATTATTATTATTATTATTATTATTATTATTATTATTATTATTATTATTATTATTGCAGATAGTTTCTACCCGGATATGGACCTGTGTTGTTCAGCATTGGCGGACTCACTCGAGTATCTGTCCAAGGTCAGACAACAGTCTCTACGAATTTTACACATCACATGTAGTGACAAAACTTTACTCGATTGTTTGCTAATCCACATGAGGCATTTGAACAGGAATGACTAACCAGTTTTATTGAATGGCGAGTTCCTTCAATTTTATGGTGATATGTAGAGCATTTTCTGTATGATAAATTTTCATACCATATAATGCACTTTTAATGATTACCCTTCATAAAGTCCTAAAATATAGGCACACTCAGTCTATATTGTAAGCATCATTCCCGTCTGTTGCGTTGCTTGAAGCACTTCTTTTACCCTGCTAAATGATATGTTTAAGAAAGTATCCCAAACAAGGAAACTTTACTTCAAGTATTTTTGTGAAGCCAGCCAACACACACACACACACACACACACACACATGTAATTTCATTCCGTTAAATATATATATATATATATATAAAATTTTGTTTTGTCCCCTTTTGTTCAATAACCCTAGGCTTAGAGAGGAACCTTGTCTGCTTTCATAAATCAGGTTTAAACTAGACTGAATTATGGACTGGGGAAGTGGGTTTTCATTAGACTCCCAGGCTTGAAAGCCTTTCAGTGCAAAAGGATTAAACGGATTTGGCCGAGTAGTCTAAAGCGCTGTCCATTACGGATCACTGCCATCTCACCTCTGTCTACATGGGTTCGAGTCTAGGATTCGGCGAATGTGGATATGTGAGAAAGCTTGCCAGTAGCTTCTCGTGGGTCGGTGGTTCTTTCCGGTGATTTCCCGGTTTCTTCCTCCACCATTAATACTGGCCGCCATAAATAGCCTATCGTGTGCTGAAAAATGGCGTTAAGCCCAACAACAACAAAATCTCTCTAATGGATAGTGTAATGGATGGTTGTAATTCTATAGAGTTAGGGATCGTTTGTGTAATGCAACACTAGGGTACTCGAGCATATACAGTGTAAATTTTAAATAAACACGTATCTATCAGGTTTGGTTTGTGAATTTATTTTTGAACCTATCACGTTACAATATTTTCTTCTACCGGTCGATACGATTCCCTTAGTGAAGTCAGGCGCACAGAACTTACCAGACCGATCTTCCTTGTTTAGTGTTATTTGAGCAAGCTTTGTCCGGACAGACCACATGGTTACATTTATATCAAACATTTCAATAAATATGTTACAGCTTCCAGTCTGCACTTACATGGATGATATTGTTTACTACATAAATCAAGTTTATGAGTTGCCAAAACAAAATGTTTCTTAGAAGAAAATCTTATAAAGAGACTAAAATGTAGAGACCAAAAGGAAATGTAAATGTGTCTAAATAACGCTTGATCCCTGAACCAGGATTGTGTGTGTCTTGCCTTTTTCGGCTGTTCAAACTAGTAACGCAAACTATTCTGTGCATATCTCTTACTTCAGCTTTTGGGGGTTTTTTCTTAGAGGAAGTGAAATTACATCCATGTAAACAAAGTCACTAAATGTGCGAACAGTTTATAAGAGTTATTGTCCTTCAGTCGTGTGTTTTCGTAATACGACAACCAGCTATTACCGTTTAGTAAAAAATGCTCTTCTGCTATGACGGTAATTTCTCCACCTTCTTGTTAATATGGCAGAGAGCGGTTTCATAGTGGAACAGGATGAAACTGATTTGGTGTTGGATCTAGCGAAGACACGGAGCACAATTTCGTGAATGACGTGTTTATTTATAATGTAATTGAAAAATGTCACCATATTTGAGTGTATAAAATCCAACAATGGACTTCACAGAAATGACACAAGAAAATGACACCCTTCATAAATAGAATAATTTAGATGTATGGTCTATGCAGTCTGAAATAAAGAATTATTATCTTATGTTATCTAATAGAATCAAGTTCAACGGATAATCATATGAGAATCAACGTATGAAATTTTTGTAAACAAGTATGATTGATATATGGATACATCACCATAGATGACCAAGTAATAGAACTTATTAACTTAATGTGATAAATGACTCTACAAAAATACGAACAATGTATATGTAACTCATCAATAAGCAAGATATATAATTGATTTTCACTCATATGACGATGTTGATTCATGTTGTTACCCATATAGTCGTATTCAAAAACATTGGTTCAAAGTGGGAAAATATATGTATCTTGTGACGTGTACTCGAAGATAGACCGCTCCGATGGTCTAGTGGTTAGAACATCCTCCTCAAATGCGGGAGGTCGTGGATTCAATCCCCGGCTGAGTCATACCAATGACTTATAAAATGGTACTAACATCTACTTTGCTTTGCGCTCAGCATTAAGAGCTTAGTGTTAGGACTGGTCGGCTTAGTCTCAGGAAAACGTAATTGAATGGGACATCATGCTATTTGTCTGCGACATCACTATAAACTGTCATACTGAAGACATCATAGCCCTATGACTAAAACATTGTTAAAGCTAAGTTAAAAATCCAAATCACATACACACACAGAGCCGAAGATAATGATGTATTTCCGGCTCCACAAATCTTGCCGAATGGTTACGGAGCAACCATGCATGGTCCGCTCTTCCCAGTGTGTCCAACAATCACGAGAGCATCTTTATCCTGAAACGTTTGTTCGTCACTGTGAATAAACCAATACCGTCCTCCAAGCCAATGTCACCATCGTCAGCAGCATCCGGATTACTCGAAAGCCGAGTTATGAGATTCCACAGGGAAACATAAAACATTTAGGTAGCTGAGTGGTCTAAAGTTACAGACCAATACCGTCTCACCTCTGTCGGCGTAGGTTCAAGTGTCGAAAACGACCAATGTGGGTATGAGAAGAAAACATGCCAATTAACCTTACGCCAGACGACAGTCTCCGCCTACAAAATCACTTGACTTAACCTCGGACAAACATACAGTATTTGGAAAAGAAGTGTTTCAGTTTGCGTTATATGTTTTTAATGTGGTTTGTCTTATTCTTAAAAATTTAACATTAGACAGTTGCATTAATTATACTGCAGTAGATAACATTTATGAATGTAGTTCAAGTTCGTACATTAAAAGCCTAAGTGTTTCATTTCAGTAAATAATAACAATCAATTGTAAAGCTGTTTAAGATGCTGATGTATTTAGCATATAATGTTATCCTTGTTAATTTTATCTGAAATCGTAAATAATTAGTGTTTAGAAGTATACTGTTGTACATAATAATCGTAAATTCTGCTATATTAGTAAGATGGAATTTTGATCAATGATGACTATTGATCTAAACATGTAAATGCATGTTTAACATATTGGAAGATAATTATCTGAAACCTTTATTTCGTATTTCTTTATTACTAATTACATTTTTGTATCACCATCCTCCTTTAACTCAATAAAAATGTAAAGCGTCACTCAAGTGTCTAAAAGATCGGGATGATAAATAATTTATTTTGGGACCAGCCAACATTAATATGTAAATTTTCAAATTTTAAAATAATGTAGCCTTGGTTTCAGTGCTTACTAAATAAGAATAAATTATATATATATATATATATATATATATATATATATATATATATATATATATATATATATATATATATATATATATATATAAATCCTATATTTAATGGTTTCCTCGCCTATATTCTTGTGAAGTTAATTTTTACATATAATTTCAATTTCTTGGGGGAGGGTTTCAAACTATCAACGGGACATACTTTTATGCAAACAAACACTTTGTAATTACTATCAATTGTGTCTTTATTCAGCTGATCGTACACGCGACAAGTCGTTATCCATCGAAGTTTCGCTTGTGTTTCGGGAAAAAAATACATCTAATTCTTCCATTTAGATGATCTGGATATTCAGAATTACTAGACTTGTTTTCACTGTTATCGATCGAGAAATCAACAAATCATTTCAAAATTGTAAATAACGATATATAAATCTCTGTTGTTAGTCAGATTTAGGAACGTTTATTGCACCACATACTCTGAGTCATTAACAGTCGTAAGATCTTCTTGTTTCCCTCAATATTATACTTTCTTCCAAAATTCATTCTATCTTTTTATTGTGTGTTTGCCACATCCTCTTCGACGTTTTTCCTCATTTTTACACCCTTGTTATGTAGATATACTTCTTGGTTTAACATAAATCTATCTCCTTAACCTTTGGCTCTTTTACTTAGACTTTTCATTTATTTTTTTTTACTGTAATATGACTAATTTATGATCTGAGGTTTATAGTGTAAATGAAGAACATATTTTGTACTGTTAGAATTTTGGTTTTCCACTGTATGCATTTTAGCTAACCAAATATAATTTTTTCACTAGATATTGACGAAAATAAGGTGTTTTGTAAGTTGACACCACTTATTAAATAAAATGAATAGAAGCATATTTCATACATGCTTATGAGCACGGCAGACATACAGGGAGTTGAAATTAAAACATCAGACAAAATATTAAATTGTCATCGTTTATTCAGTTATCTGCATCTACAATTTAGGACGTAAATCGCGGGAAGACTTAAATACTTTTAGCCTTTTACCCTTTAGTCACGTGCTTTCTACACTTCTGAATAGTGGCTTCCTTGTATATACTGAATTTCCACTTTTGTCACTCTAGATTGGATGATATTTAAATAGGTGATTTTCCATTGGCTGGTTCCGTCCGGTGGGTTGTGTGCAATGTTGGATATTTTGACAAATGGCAGGTAGACCGTATTGCGACTTAAAATCTTAATACAGCCATATTCTGCATATAAGGATAACGAGTTCATCTTTTCTATGATTCTTATATGCTATGTTCGTTTTTCAATATTAGTCTGCAGATGAGTTTAATGTTGTGCTCATATATAATTTGAGAGGAAGTCATTCGTTTGGATCATTTATGGGAATTCCAAAGTTCTCTTTGACTCTAGACTAAAATGTTATTCTATGACTATTGTGAATTTACTTAAAGGATTACTGTAATGGACTTGGCTGAAGAAACTGCATTCCAATTGCTATATTTTCGTCTGATAGGATGATCATTGGATGCAGTAACTGTACTAAATCTAGAGGTGTGGCAGTGCAGGATACATACCTGGCTGGATTGTATGCACTTGTTTTTCGTGCAATTCATATTCCAATAGTAAACGTTTTGTGATAGAATATTTGCATCATTTGATTTCTAAAGAATGTTTTCGACCGATATGTTTTCAGTTGAGAGACCAATATTTGTCAACATTTTCTTTTTATAATATTATTAGTTTATTTACTTCTGTTGTATAACATTTAAATTACGCTTTTCCTGAAGGTGGAATGCAAGATCCGTACAGCGTGGCAAAAGTAATGTAAAGGTAAACAGTCTGCATTACAATAGTCAGTCAGGAGTTTCTCTGCATAAATTTGGCATGTTCATGCTGGACACCGTAGTGGATATTTTTAGGTCTCCCACATTTACTTTATAACTATGCAATTGTTTACATATGTTCTTCTTATTTTTAAATAGACATACGAGTAATTATATGTATGATATATTGGTTATATTCCTACCCAAGTACTGTGCGCTTTTCTGATTGTCTACAGGTTTTTCCAATGTCCATTCTGCTATAGATTGGAAAGATAATTGCCATTTAGCGATCCGCGCCGTAACTTCATTGTGCATGGTCACGGGTATGGTCATCATTTGAGATTATGCTCTTCGTATAGTCTTTAATCCATTTAACTTTTGCATTTAATCCATTGGCATAATCAGTTACGTAGCTGTCACAGCTCAGTGTACGCTTTGTGATGTCACAAGTGGATTCTTCAGTGATCGCTGTTGTTAATTGCAATAGTAATAAAAATTGGATCCAAAAGATTGGACAAGGATGTTACTACCGTCTCAGCCAATCAATGACGAAAATACTGCGCAAGGGTTTTATTTTGACCAATAAAATTCACGGAAAGTGACATGTCAGCACGTTAACATTATTAAGTGTGATTATTATGGCTTATTCGGTTCTTTTTCTCATAATGCTGACGATCCACGTTTTGTTTAATATGAAACTCGGTAATGAAGCAGATAAAACAAAATTGGAACATCATGACCAAATATATTTTTTGGCATATCCGAAAACCTAGTATTCGAATTTAAATAGTCTGACATAATAGCTTGATAAATACATGTCATTAAAACTATGTCTCTTGCGAGACATGGCATCATTATTATCTCAATATCTGTAATATATCGTAAATCATATTACCAGTTATTATGGTGTTTAAATAACTAGATAAATTTGCTTATCATCATCGTCGTCGTCTTCGTCATAGTCATCATCATAGTCGTCATCATCATCGTCATCGTAGTCGTCGTCATCATCATCATTTCTATGTCTGCAGAGTTAGGATGGTGTAACTTCCCTTAATTATTACCAAAATATGGCCAAAGCAGAAAATTGTGCAAGTTAAAGACATCTTCACTTTTGTAGCGTTGATAGAAAGATCGGATTCTCACACTCATTTGAGAAGCCAGAGTACAAGAAAACTTCTAAATAGTATTGTTTCAGAGAGACAGACCGACAAAATGACAGACATACAGACAGAAAGACAGACACATTGACAAAGTGGGGGTTATACAGAAATAAAGAGACAGAACCACATGTAATAACTAACAAGCCCATAACACCTATCATTTGACTCTAATCATATGTAGTTTCATTTCTATTTGGTCGCAAAGTTGTCGTATCGACTTTAACAGCGACGATTTATTTTGCTCTGTTTTGAAAAGGTAAATGTGCGTTATTTCACTTAGTATTTACATGAGCAATTTAAAATAATATCAGTGAATTAAAAGCCTGGAGACAGTGCCGGAATACCAAAGAGGCACAATAGGCACCGACCTATAGACCCCCACGCCTTTTAGAGTCCCTGCGACAACGGATCAAAATAATATTGGACTAATTTGATCTCGAAAGGGTCTCATAGATTTCGACTGCCTAGGAGCCTAGGAGGGGGTTAATCCGGCACTGCCGGGTGAGAAGAATTCCAGTTTTCACACAGATGAGATTTCACAACGATTTGTAAAGAATACATAGCTATTTGTCTGTCTAAATCTTTGAATCATCCAGTTCTCAAGCCATAAAATTGTATCTTCGGAAGTCGTAAATATACCGTGAAATAATGTGTCAATGTGACCCAAAGTTTGCGCATGAGCAGCCACAGGTGTGATTTATGATGATATCACATCAAAACTTGTATCTAACTAGCCTGAGCGCTTTCTGTTCATACTGAGTCTTTTTTAAAGGCAAATACAAAACAGAGACA